AGCTACATTTATTACTGGAAGGTCGTGCGCAATTATGAAAGCTCTACGTAATATAAAGCCGAATGCAAATGTACCCCGAATGTAATAATGTAATGTAAAGAATAAATGTAATGTAATGTAATGTAGTGACAACCGAAAATCGCGCCACTAGACATAAACTTAGCAGCTGCTATAGTATCTTTTTCTACTAGATAGGATATTTCCAGAGTATCCGTAATGGGACGTACGATTACTCCGACCAGAGGTATCCAGTCATTAGTGCCGCGATTATAGATCCTTGGTTGGAACGTATGGGAAGTGGTATGAAACGCTATAATTTTGGAAAAACCGTTGATAATTTCTGCTGGGTAATCACTTTCATTTTAGTAAGCCAAGTTTTTTTCCAATTTAGACAGACACTGAAACAAAACAATTCAAAATCCAAAAACGTTTTGAAGGATTTTTAAGCGTGAGAGATCCTTCCGTGACAACATATTGTTGCACTACGTGGGTAAAGCTAAAAATATCGCGTTAGAGTACGTAAAAGGAGGAAATTAAACTATGAAGCATCTACATCAGTGCTGCTTCACCTTTTATAATCTTTGAGCAGTAAATCTTCGATATCAAAGCCTTCAAGAGTTATGTCATGGTAGTGAACGGAATGACGATTGACAGTACTCCATTCCACTGCGATACAATCACAAAAAAACGTAACAGTGCTTCGAAAATCGTAAAATCGTGCCCTGCCCTGTAATGGTTAAGAAATCTAACATCTGTAGCTTTTCAGAGCCGCCAATTTATACCTGAAGAGCTTCCCTCTATCTTTCGAGCTAGTCAACTTTTCACAAGTGTACAGGTACAACTTTTCAATTTTGAAAGAAACTTTGCTGGATTTTCTGTATTCTTACCTTTTCAACCGCATCAGATAGGTAATTCTGCACATGATTTCGTTTATAATTTCCTTCCCAACTTTCTTTCCACTCATTTTTGATCTTTCATAGGGTATATGCTGCAATGGAGTAGTTTAGGTACCTATTCGAGCTGTATTTCTATTAAGCATTACTTATCGACTGTTCCTTCTGTTTACGACTTTATATGATCGATCAGTTCACTCTAATTTGGCTATAGGAAAGCCAGCTATATTTCTAACATTAACCAATGA